CCCTTTAACCATGGTTTTACTACAAATAAAATATAAAAAGGTTACTATAGTAACTATAGTTAGTATTAGTATAGTTAGTATAGTTAAACCATGGAAACACATATGTGACCATGGACCACAAAACCAGTCTTATGTGTCACATAAATAAGCTTTCCATTGATGTATGGTTTGTTAGGATAGGACAATATTTGGCTGAGATACAACTATTTGAAAATCTGGAATCTGAGGTTGCAAAAAAATCTAAATATTGAGAAAATCACCTTTAAAATGATCCAAATGAAGTCCTTAGCAGTGCATATTACTAATCAAAAATTAAGTTTTGATATATTTACGGTAGGAAATTTACAAAATATCTTCATGGAACATGATCTTTACTTAATATCCTTATGATTTTTGGCATAAAAGAAAAATCTATAATTTTGACCCATACAATGTATTTTTGGCTATTGCTACAAATATACCCCAGTGACTTAAGACTGGTTTTGTGGTCCAGGGTCACATATTATCCATGGTTTTGCTACACTAACCATAGTTTAACCATGGTATTTGTAATAAAACTGTGGTTTTACAAATGACAATCAATATGCCAAACCATGGTTACTACACTTTTACTAAAACCCATGGTTAATTTTTTTGTAGGGAGGGATCAAGCCAGATATAGAGACAGAAACACAAGTCATTTGATCTGCATAGATGATTATGGTATACCATCAAACACCATAACAACTAAAGCAAAGATGTATAAGGTACAGTATTAAGTTCAGATCATCTCATAGACATAACTGCCCAGAAAAGTCTTCTAGTACATTTACTCTATACTTTCCACTTATTACAGTGCAACTCTAACTAATAACAGCTGTTGCTTGTTGAAGCAGACACTGTTTAGATATTTTGGCAGAGACAATTCTTAGTAACTGCATAATTACGTTCTCAAATATCTTTTTTGTCTTGGGAGTTGATGATGTAAAAACAGGATGCAAGACATGTTCAAGTAACCTCTAAAAAATCTCCACACATCCAGCACTTCACATCTCATCAGCTTCACTGCATGAACATGACTTCAGATCATATATTCCATTACTGTTTTTCTGATTTGTTCGTTTCCATTTGTGTGGTTGAAGATTTTGCATTCTGAGTTGAAAGAATACAAAAACCTTGGCAATGAGGTGGTGTGCTGGTTTGTATCTAGAGGAACGTTCTAGAATTATTCGCATTACTGTATGTGACACCACAACATGAGGAAATGAAAGTTTATGCTTTTAAACAGCGAGTGAGACCATGAAATTTGTACTTCTGAAGGGTCAATATCACTGTTCTTGATTAGCTAAAAACCACATTTATATAGACAGCGGCTAGAAAAGTCAAAACAAATGAAATTTCCACCATCACCAGTAATGAGTCGAAAACAAAATCTAACTATGAAGTTGTCTAAGATGACATCAAGTCATTTCTTAACTACTTAATTGGTGTTTCCATGCTACGGTTTACATTTAAAAACCTGATGCACTTTTGGCTGAAGCGCTCATCCGCAAGATTAGCTTCTGGGCATTATGGGTCGAACATTTCAATAACACCAACCGCTGTTCATGTCGTGAGATGTCAAGAACCCAATAGTCTAACAAAATACACCCTAAATGACATAATGCTTTAATTCAAATCAGTTATAGCTTCTCTAAATGCTTTCTCTGTTCTTCTCTTTCTAGTTTTTTCCTCATTTGCACATTCAACAAACACGCTGCCCTTTAACTTTTCTAAAAGCATGAGATACACAAATCTAATATTTTGTGGTGAAAACTACAGCATGTATTTGATAAACTGGTATATAACATAAAATGAATCTAGCATAAGTTTGCATTAGTTGGCATCCTGGGCTGACATTAAAATCAAATAAACTTAAAACGTTTCAGGTCTTATTTTGTGGCATATATGTGGAGCTTTACATTAGCTTTATATATCATGCAGGTGTTAAGCAACATTTCGCCGTCCCCTCTGAACTCTATAAATATATAAACAAACTATAAATAAGTGCTTTTTCTATTCATGGAGGCATTCAGAAGCCATTTTGTAACTGCTGCAGTGGATGCTTATCTTTAGCATGTTTTTATAATTATTGGGGCATTGAAAGATTGCATAGAGAATTTGCTTGACATCCTCTCCATAAAAGCTTTTCTATGATTTTGGTCTTTTATACGAGTACTCACACACTCTGCTATGGCCAAGAATCTTCCTTGTTTATAGACATGAACTGCCAGAATATCTGTCTGTCTCTAGATCTAGACTTTGCTTCAGACAAATACAAACAAAGGCTCAATCAGTAATGCCAAAGAGATCATTTGAAAAAATTATTATTAGTGATTAGACATTATAAATATTTATTACCATTTTAAAATCTGTCATTGTCCCGGGTTCTTGATGAAGGTAAGTGGCCACGTTGCCCCATAAATGTCACATCACATCTAGGATCCTGGCTTTTTTGGACTACATTTTGTGTTGCAGTTTGCATATTTATAAAGCAATATTCAATATTGGTGTCTTATTTTCCTAAACCGATCAGAATTACATGCAGGATTATTATAGTTATCCTAAAAAACAATAAAAAAATCTCACTTCTGTAACATTCTTTGCAAGTATATATAATAATTAACATTAACTGAAATAAAATAAAATATACTTTTAAAAAATCAGTTATTTCTCCAAAGCAACATTTTTCATTTACAGTAATTTAGCCTTAAATTGATGTACTAAAATAACTAAAACTAAAATGAAATGAATAAAATCTATATAGACATACTCTATAAGAAACTATTACAAAAGATGACAAAAAACAACAACAAAATTACTAAAACCTTCAACTAAAATTAAAATGAAAAAGAAAATATAAAAGTAAAAACCGATTCAAAACATTACTAAAAACTGTAATAGTAACTCAGTGATACTAAAAAAAGATCTGCCCTTAGATGGTGAGAGGATCATAATGGTTTTGGAGAATATTAAATATTTATGACTTCAAACAACTTGCTAGTTTAAAAAATGTATGCATGCGCATTTACATCACAGGTATATTCATTTCAACCAAAATATCAGTAATAATAACCCTTCTGTTATGTAGAACTGTTTTTCTTACATTTACGCATTTTCCAGACATTTCTGTCCAAAGCGACTTAGATTGCATTCAGATTTGAGCTACAGGAATGCAATAAAATTGTTGTAATGCAGTTCAAATTTTCCTAAAAATGTTGATCTACAGGATCAAGGATTCAACCAATGGCTGATAATTGAGATCACAGTCTGCTGTGTCTAGACTGCTATGCAGCTCTCACGACACTTGTGCACATTCACACCCCATTAAAACCATGTGTCCCAAAGCTGCTCTCACACCCAGCCAGCTCTTCCCAAACCACACGGCCCTCAGACGGCTGATCGTCCTCTTTCGTGCCCTGAGGTTTCGAATTTGCACTTCACCAATCAGCCTTTTGTGGAGGACGCTGAGTCAATGTTGCGTAAGCGACAATAAGTATTTCGGTCGGTTCATTTTAAGGACGGGTATGTAACAATACGCTCTCCCTCTCTCCCTTTGCATCCCCCATTTCCTATCGAGTTATAAAAGTTGTTTTCACTGAGTAAGAGACAGAGGAATTTGCTTGTTTTAGCTCTGGCAGCCAAACACAGAAACCCTGTCATTCCCGACAGATCATTCTCACCGGCCACAGATAAACATTTAAGCGGTATTTTTCACTCAAAAACAAACTTTTAACGCCATGCCAGCAGCTATAGGTTTTTAAAGGGCACGTTGAGGCTTTATAGGCAGAACGAAAACAAACAGGCGATATGTAGGCCAAGTCAACATTCCTTCCAACTTCCCACAGATCAGACGAAATTATATCGCTCAGCATTATAGGGTGTGGATGGCACTGCCAGATTGTACAAATCAAAGCCATCACATGGTGCGTTTGAAATGCGTCCTACAGGCGATTACGACTCGGTGGCTCGGCCCGCTTTCGCCCACTGTTCTTTCTGCCATGTCACCACAAACCCTGAACCCCAAGCGTTTAAATTTGGCGTTCCGTGAGTGGTCGGTGTCTGGAAATTGTTCACATCCTGTTTACGTCGAAGATTTGCTAACCTCGAACCGCATCTGGCTGTTGAGTCCACTAGTCAAATCTGCATTTTCGGCGAGTGCAGACCACACAGTTATCGTTTGAAGAAAAAAAGGAAACCTTGAGAGTAGGCCACTCGCTGGGCCGTATACTGAATAAATATAAGCCACAGCCAATAATCTACTTCGAGAAACTTCTATAAATGTAACGAAAAATGAATAAAAAAGGCCACAAAATATTATCTAATCAAAATGTATTGTATTTAGCAAATAAACACATATAAACATCACCAAAACTATTTACACTTGCAAAAATATAAACCGATCTACAGTAAACTTAATACAAAATCTAAAAAAGATGTACTGCTGGCGTGTATTTTGTGTCACTGTTGCGATACTGAAAATGCGAGGAGATATTAGTCAACAAGCTTATTTATTAGACTATTGCCAATGCAGGAGACAGTTATCGCTCCTGTATTGAAGATGCTTGATGTATGATTATACGCTATTCCTCCTACCTAAGTTTGTAGGTATGTTTCACCCAAAAATAAAGATTAATTTCTTTCTTCTGTTGACCATAAAAGATGACATTTTGTGAAATGTCTCAGTGTCACAATGGAAGTCAATGGTTTGGTTCCCAACATTCTTCAGAATATTTGGTGTTTGTCAGAAGAAAGAAATGCATACAATTTTGGAACGACACACTCTAAAAAATGCTGGGTTAAATACAACCCAGTGCTGGGTAAAATAGGGACAAACCCAGCAATTGGGTTGTTTTGACCCAGCGGTTGGGTTACTACCCAGAAGGTTGGGTTAAACATTTAACCCAACCGCTGGGTCAAAACAACCCAATTGCTGGGTTTGTCACTATTTTACCCAGCACTGGGTTGTATTTAATCCAGCATTTTTTAGAGTGCATGAGGGTGAGTAAATGAGGACAGTTTTGATTTTTGGGTGTAGTTTCCCTTTAAGATGCCGTTCATTGAGATGTTAGTTTGCTCTCCTCCGATCCACCTGTTTTCTGTTCTCCGTCTTCTCTCTCCACTGCATCAACGGCACTTGCAGGACCGGACCACCATGTTGGAGAGCTGTTCCACACGGGGGGTTCGGCCTAGGAAATAAACGATGGTGAGGGGCTCCAGGTCCTGAGGAACACAACACGGAGATGCTGATGCTTCTGGATTCATTTTATTATACAGCGGGATAATCTAAAAGGAAGACAGACAAGAGAAACACTGTAAGCAGAGTCAGACACAGAAAACAACATCTAAATGCAACATTTTAGAGTGAACTCTAGAACACTGCACATACAAGCAGATTTAATGACAAAGAGAAGCATCGAGAAGAATCGTACATGTGAAAATGCACTGAGAATTGTAATCTAGTTTAGAGGAAGAAAGGAATCATGTCTTTGTTGCAGTTTTTCTGACGATTATGGTATAATATAAGACTTGTTCACCTTACAAATGACTGTTGACTGCAAAAATGCTACAAAACGCATATCAGATTATGTGAGAAAGTGTGATGTGCTGAAGCAAAACAGACACTATTTTTGTAATCAGCAACCAGCACTGGATTTCATTCAGCAAATATGATGCAGGGCGGTGTATTTTTTTAGCTGGCAGTCCTGATCCAACCTTCAAACATACTCAGTCTGATCAATATTTACCATGTTGTAGTGGCTGTCTGCGCTCCATAGGTAAGGACAGTTCCCTGCACAGAAATTAGCTTTGTACCCTTTTGGCTCGTGGATCCACTTCCAGTTCAAGTCCCGACGAAAATCGATATACAGAGACCTCAGACAGCAGCCCTGATCAGTCCTGGAGGAGGGAAAATGATTGGTTTCAATGCATCATGCTGTGTTTAAAAAGTAGTTTACCTAAAAATTAGTGTTTTTATAAGACCAACAGACTGAAATTTAATTGTACTATGTGCTTTTGTCATTTTTATTTTTTAAGTATAACTACATAGTTTTATTTTTTATTTCAGTTTTAGTTTGTCATTTTATTTCCAGTTATTTTAGTGCTTCAACTAAACGAAACTAACTGAAATATGTCCAAGTTTTGGACCATTTTATTTTATTTCACTTTGATTTCAATTAACAATTAGTTTTAGTTAAAAATAACAACTCTATATTCTTAATTCTAGAATTCTATATACTTAAAAAAAATAATACATAATTCACCGTTTGTGCTCCATGGAAGAAATAAAGTCCGTTTGGAACAACGCTGTAAATAATGTGAACAAATGATGGATGGTGGACTAACCCTTAAATAATTGTGGTCCAGTTTTGACTCCAGCAACAAATTCAGATTTGATTTAAATGTGACCATTTCTATGTTGCTTAGCAGAGAGGAAACCACTCCACAGAACAAATACAATTTAAAAGAGCATTTACTCCCAGGACAGACAAGATGCAGACTGCATATCAGACGTGACACTCCCTGGGCGAGTCGCTGCAAGCGTTCTGTGGGTGTGTGATGCAATATAATCTAGACTACTATTTTATAAGCACACGTATTGGTATCAATCTCATCCAGCTCTGAGTGTCTCTGTTGGTTCCTGATTGGTTTTTCACGCAGTGCTTTTGCATGAAATCGGATGAGAGCTGAAAAATGACACTACCAGTGTTGGGGAAAGTTACTTATAAAAGTAATGCATTACAATATTGCGTTACTCCCTAAAAAAGTAACTAATTACGTTACTTAGTTACTTTTTAAGGAAAGTAATGCGTTACATTACTTTTGCATACATTTTTAAACATGAGCAGGGTTTGATTGTTTTTAATATAAGAAGTTCTATTTATAGCAAATGTAAAAGCCCTTTCACATCAAAAAGTGTATGAATAAACCTCAGGCTGAAGCAAAAGTAAATTCACGTCTATACAGTAGAACGCAGGAGAAGGTTCAACACTCTTCAGCAATAAAAAAAAATGAAGCACATTTGTTAGTTTCTCTAAAGTCATTTTTGCTTATTAGTACGGTTGAACTGGATCATCAAAGGTCAGCAGCAAAGACATTGATTAAAATGGGATTAGATACATTTGTTTTATTTAACATATTTAATTATTGCAGGTTTGGGTCATATTCTGAGTTTGCATTTCACTGTTTTAATTCATTTTGATGAATACTAAATCTGTTTTGAGTGGGATGAATTGATGCACATTCACATTTAGTCTAGAACTACAGTAACATCATGTTCACACAGCGCACACAACGCCTCTGCACTTCCAATTTCTCCCAATATGGGGACAGGAGACTTGTCAGTCAATAAATGGGAAATCAAAGTAACTGGCGTAAATTAAAAAAGAAAAAAGTAATCTGATTACGTAACTCGCGTTACTTATAATGCGTTACCCCCAACACTGGACACTACTGTATTCCATAAAGCTTCTTATAGTTGAATTTGACTTGTTTTATAATTGATGAACTTTACGCAGTAATTGAACTGAACTGAATCAACACTGAACTGACTTGAGCTGTATAATGACACTATTGTCTTATTAGAGCTGCTTTACAGCAGAATTTGGATTTGTCTCATATTTGATGAAATTTGCATAATTGATTCTGTTATTTTTCTGCTTAACGTATTAACAGTATTGTATAAAGTGCTATATAAATAAAGGTAACTTGACAAAATACTTTATATTATGCGTAATACTGAAATCCTTCAGAGCCATTTATATTAGCTTTTTGCATCTGTTTTTATACTAGCATTCATTTTGTCACAATCTAGCTTTTCTAATGTGTGTTGGCAGGAACATACAGTTAAGATTATACAAAAATATCTGATTCTCAGTAAAAAAAATCAAGTATTCCAGGGACATGCTACACACACACACACACTCCAGCACTCTTTCTCTCTGTACCGTGAGCATATGGATGTGTCTGCTGCTGATCTCTTCTTGCGGTGTTTCTTGGTGGGATTGTCCAGACGGTCGGTGGGCAGCAGGGTGAGTATCAAATGGGGAGTTTTTGTGCTGAATTCAATCTGTCCTTTAGTCATGCCTGGTCTTCTGTTCTGCTTTATAAGGTCGTCATCAATGCCTGGGAAAGAATCGATCCAAAATATCAACGACAACAAATGATGTGATGAGTCTCCTATATCATTAACAATGTTCCACTAACATTTGACAACTAGGAAAGTGCACTTTTTGTCTTCATTCGGAACAATATTTTTACTGTTTTAAACTTTCTTTAGGATGTCTGGTGAAGGCATTGAAGTTGGCCAAAACGTCACTGTTTTAAATGTATTAAAGTTAACTCTATGCTTGCAGTGTTGTGTTGACATGAAAAATATTTCAATATTTTGCTTGAAAATGTGCTTGCGCTGTCTTTAAAATAAATTGTGTTTGATATTTTATTATCTAATGCAATGATATTCATACTTTTTAAAGGGTAACTTAAGCATCCAAATACTTTTGGGGGGCACTATACATGTAAAAAAGAATGAAAGAAGCAAACTTTGTGTGTGTGTGTGTATATATATCGTATTTTTCTTTTTTATTATTTAATTAAGTATTTATTTATTTATTTATTTTTACTATTCTCTGACATGTTAGGATGCTTTGTTGTTGTTTGGGTTGAATGTTTGTAGCCATTCTCACTTGTTAACCAGCTGTTCTGGTTAACACTTTATTATAATAGTAAGTAGTAAGTAAATGTAACGTGTTACAAGGATACCTTAAAATAAAGTGTTACCTGTTTTTGCATTAATTGTAAGAACTAAACTGTTACACACACAATGGATTTGGATACTGAGAAAGGCTGTTAAAAGTCAAAACACTGACTTTTTAACGATTTAGCCCATATTTAATAAAAGGTTTTAAATTTTCTACCACTTAATTGCCTTTCTTGTTTTCATTCAAATTTAGATTGATGAGAAAATGACCTGCAAATCTGGCTTCCAACTCTTCACTCTTGTTAGGGACGATATTGTTTGTGGAAGGGATGAATGTACAGCAGGGACAGTGAACGCTGATCTTGAGTCCGAGATTCCTCTCTAAAAGAGAAAACGATTATTTTTCTTAGAGAAGGAAATACTTCTCATTTGACTTGCTCTTCTGCTTCATCGAGCAGTAAATATATGTTCAAACCTCCAGATGAACTCACTGACCTCTGAACGCCATCCACTCCTTCACAGTCTCAGTGACGTCGACAGAAAGCCACGCCCCCTTGGCACGAGGCTCAACTGTTCTGGAGTCGATGTACCTCTGAGACGGTGCCGTCACGTCGTCAGATTTGAGAATCTGTGGGTGTGAAGGGAAAAAACCACAAGCTTATTTGACTTACCCATTCATTCATCTGCTGGTCTATTTCTTGCACTGTACAGCATGAAAAAATATGTGAGGAATCAAACCCTGAGGAATCAGCTGCCGCCACTCGCTGCTCATCTTTGGAACGACCCAAGCCTTTTGTCTGGAAAAACCACATGCGATTCTCTCACCTGGTATATTTCCACACGCTGCTCTGTGGTGCGCGCCTGTGGGTTTGGCGCTCTGAAGATGCGAAATTCTGCTTTGACCAAAGTACTGGAATTTCGCTCCACGTTGGTGACGTCGAAGCCCACTATCTTGAAGTACGGGCTCTGAGAAACCGGGTTGATTGAGTCTGTGGAACAAAAGCAGGATTCACTTTGGCCTTATTTACACTTTGTGGTCTGTGCGTGGTTTTCAGAGGGTCAACCTCAAGGAAATAAAACTGGCCTTGGTGCCAAAGCAGCAGATGTAATGACTAACCCCTTTCAGCTTCTCAGAGGCCTCACTGAACTCAAGCTGCCTTATTATTAGCAACAAAATTGTATATTATAGGTACACTATATATAACAGTTGTTAGATCAAGTATATGCCTCAGGGATATTTTCAACACTGTAAATTTTTCAAATCTGATACCTTTATTGTATATAAACTATGTATATAAGGGAATGTCACAGAAGCATGTCATATTTCACCATTTGACTTACTACTGACACTGTACTTTTTTTGTAATTGCCATTATTTTCAAAGGTTTATTAGTTCGGCAATAAGTGATTTATGCAGATTAGAAAAATTGCATTATAGTTGTATTTTATACCATAATACAAAACAATAAATAATAGAGACAGACCTAGAGTAATCTGTTTGATATTATACTGATATTCATACATTATAACTTACACTCTTCCTTTTCAGGGCACATATTTCTCTAAAGAAAAGCACCAAAAAGGGTATTCAACAAATAAATGAATAAATAAAATAAATAAATAACTAAATGTATTAAAAACAAAGACGAAAATAAGTTTGTGACAATTTAGTTTGCAAAACTATTTTTCTGAAATACAATGGCATTACAATTGCCCATACATTATATTTTTGTTGTGGTTATCTAATAATCATGCTGTTATTATCGTGTTAAAAAGCAGAAATTAAAATATTGCATATTGGTTATTGTTCATAAAAAGCCAATTTTGGTCTAATAAATACTACTATGAATAGAATTTAATGATACAATATGCAATATGAATCATCGTATTGTGTTAAAAAGCAGAAAATATTACATAGCGGTTATCGGGCATAAAAATTATGCCTATCATCGGTCATAAAAAGGCAATATTGGTCTAATAAATCCTACTATAATGAGAATATAATAATACAATAGGCAATATTAATCATCATGTTATTATTGTGTTAGAAAGCAGAAATAAACTATTGCAACTATTGAAAATATTGCATATCAGCTATCAACCATAAAAATAATGTGCATCATATTGGTCATATATCGGTTGACATTTATTTATTTATTCATTAAGCAAAATAAAATTCCTAATATTTCGTGGGTGAAATACAACCCAGCCATGTTCTTTAAAAGTTCCATGAGATTGCTGTAACATTGTAAGATATTTTTAAACAATCTAATCATCATGCACAACCAATTTTGATATGGGCAAGCTATATTTTGCACTAGAATTAGGGTTAATTAGCCTACACATCCAGAATCACAGTGCATTCTTTGAATGGGCAACCATATCAGCTAAAACTCCATATCACTCACTCGTATCTGTGCGCAGTGGCATCATATTGATCCGCTGCACCTCTTTGGCGTAATAGTCCTCCTCGCTGCTCTCCCGCTCGCACGCGGCTTCGGCCTGGCGCGCGCGCTCCTTCAGCAGCTCCTTCGTGCTGTTGTAAAGTAACATCACCTCCACCGGTACCAACTCCGGTGGCGGGCTGGCTTCGGGATCCGGAGGACTCCGGATGCGCAGCTTGCTCAAAATCTGTCCGCGCACCGCCTCGATCCTTTTAGATTTGTGGTCGTCCAAGTTGTAGGATTGGCACGTGGAGAATCCCTCCGCAGACACAGACAGTTTGAGAACGAGCAAAGTTAGATTGATGAACCACATGGTTGATTGACAGATGAGAGGCTCGGGTGCGCTCCTCTATAACGCCCGGTCCGCTGGATGTCCTCGGGGAGGGCGCGCACTGAGCGCGTCTCTTGCGATGGGACAAACCCAAAGTGCGTAGGCTGCGCTGCTGGCGCTCTGTGTTCACCAGGTGAATGAGCCGCTCTGCTGTCAGATACAAGCTTATACCTCCTCATACACTGCCTGACATGTCATTTATGTACTCTTGTAGTCTATTTAGGGTTAAAAAAACAATCAAGAAAGAAGATTACGCAGAGGACATTAGTTGAGCTCGATGTGTGAATTCCAAGTAAGTTACTGATATCCAAGAGATCAGTTTTTTCCAATTTTCGAGGCGCAAACGTAGGCTACGTCTTACGTATTTTGGCGTCCCTAACGGTTAGCAAAACGAACAGTCTTAAATACTTTAAAAAGTGTTTTTGTAATCTATTAGTAAAATAAATATACAATAAAGCAGCCTACCTAGTGTTACGAATTTTTCTGTTTGTGTGCGTCTTTTTCGACGTTATAGCTAGGCGTTGGGACCACTTAAATGTTTGTACTTTTTTTTTTGTTGAAAATTATGTAATATGTTGAACTTGAAACAGTTTAGTAAAAGCACTTTCTAAGACCCCCAACCGTTCGTTTGGACTTTTTTTTATGGTTGAAACCCTTGCCAAAAACCCTCCGTAATTCACACCCTGCCTGAGCTACTCAAGGCAAAACAATGTTAAATATTGGCCAGATTTCTTTGCATGTTGTGATGACAAGCGTAATACAAGAGTCCATTATTACAGATAATAATAGTATGAATCCGTATGGAATCTATAAACACAGCCTTTCCATCATGCTTCCCCGGGTTTGAAGTATTTACTGGTAAGGTAATAAATGGAACAGTTCCTCATGCTCGTTGAAAATTATGTAATATGTTGAACTTGAAACAGTTTAGTAAAAGCACTTTCTAAGACCCCCAACTGTTCGTTTGGACTTTTTTTTATGGTTCAAACCCTTGCCAAAAACCCTCCGTAATTCACACCCTGCCTGAGCTACTCAAGGCAAAACAATGTTAAATATTGGCCAGATTTCTTTGCATGTTGTGATGACAAGCGTAATACAAGAGTCCATTATTACAGATAATAATAGTATGAATCCGTATGGAATCTATAAACACAGCCTTTCCATCATGCTTCCCCGGGTTTGAAGTATTTACTGGTAAGGTAATAAATGGAACAGTTCCTCATGCTCGTCTGGTATCCAATGATTCAGAGAGAAACTCCAAGTGCTGCTTTGAATTCTTGTGGTTTGTCTTGGAGCTTTAGTGAGGACCGCTAGTACTTTCTTTTAAAGTGACTCTCCAGCTCCTTTCCCATGATAGATATAAGAGATCAGGTCAGATTTTATTCTCTTTTCTTACAGCCTCGAGTCAAGATGCAGACCTGCCATCCAAATGTTCAATCAAGCCCTTAAAGTTGCTTTAGGGAAATACAATTATCCCATGACAAAGACTGACTGTCTCATAGAGTTGAACTGGATTCAATATAAACAAAATGAAAAAATGCTAGTCTAGGCTTGGCCTACCAGAATACATCTTTTGCGAAGAGTAATCCATTTAAAAGGAGAGAGGGGGAAAAACCGACAAGACCATCAACAAAAACATCAGAGGTCAAAGAAAGTCTTTAAAGGTGTAAACTTAACTACTCTACTATAATTAAAAACGCAAACCTCTTTGGCTTTCAGAGCTACCAAAAACATCTCTTCAACAAAACAAGTCCCTAAAGTTTTCTGAAGTTTGATTGGAAGAAAAAAAACATACAGCAGCTGTGTGTGGGAGAAAGTGAGGGGGAGAGAGAGAGAGACAGAGAGGAGGACAAGAGAAGCATAGAAAACTACAAGGACTAAATATGTCTACAATGATAAAAAGGAGAAATCTTCTCCTTCTGTCAAGTTCTTATAAAGATTATTTAACGATTCAAGTCAAGGGGTCTATACATGAAAAGTGTTAATATTTTGCACACTGAATACAATTAAGGTATGCACATCTTTATCATCTTTCAACTTTATCCTCAATTAAATATTTTCATAAATATCATGAATTTCCATTTCAGTGCATGTAGTTATGCCAAACTGACTTTGATTTGGTCGGCAAAAATTTTAATCCGCCTTTTAATCAGATCAAAAAAAGTCACCAGAACAAAGCTGCAGGAGTCTATTTAGCAGTTTTCCTGTTAAACATTATGTTAGTATTTCTCACAGACTTTTCCAGATGGCATCATTGCATAACAATGGTGACACTTTTTTGGAAGCTTTCCTTGGCAACCGTGTTTCCAAGCAGAAGGCTGATATTTAACAAAAATCTTTACAAAGTCAAATATCCACCACAGCAGGCTGAAGTTACTGACTGACTGTTTCTTAATTTGTTTACCTTGGAAATAAGACAATGTGCTTTTCTAATCCAATATTTCCCTCATGCATTTAACAGACCCGTAAAAAAAAAAAAGACCCACTGGACACATTTAAAATAGATTTACTGGATATTAATTTCACCTTCCATTTTGTTTCCTGGAGAGAAATGATAGATATCCAAGGCCTCAATCTAGCTTTCCCATCCTTTCATTTTGTACACCCTTCCTTACTTTACTTCCACTCCCTATCTTTCTTCTCATTGTTAATTACAGTTCACCATCCACATGCTCGTTAATCTTTCAAACACAGCTTTATAGCTGCTCTCTCCACCTCTCCATTATGACATTATTATAGTTTGGCCAAGAGGGCTGTAATTGAACTTCAAGAGAAGGCAGAAGGTATACGACACACCAAAAGCCTTGAAGAAATTAGATATTAGGAACCGAAAAGAGACACCAAAGGTCTGGAATTTTTCAAGGGCTGAAACCATTCCCAAAGAACGGCTATTTTCTTGTTGAAACATGAATTCAGCGTTTGATCTCGGGTTCTGAATCGGAGAAAGCGTGGATGCGGGGCCTCGAGCGCCACCAGGCGGCCGCGGACGGATGAAAGGAGCAGGGCCGCTCTGGTGGTTCGTTGCGGTATTGCAATATAAGATTTAAATAGAGAGCTCGAAAACAGTTGATCCCGTTTTTTTCTTTTAACCTCCCTCAAACTAAATATAGTTGCTGTCTTGCCACCTCATCTTGCTCTCAGAGGTTTCTGTGTGATATGAAGAAGTCCTGGCAGAGTTTGTTCCCAGAAACTACTACAGTTGACCTCAAATCTCAGACAAGCGCTCCGACTACAGGAAGACAGTGCTTACACTGACAAATATAATGAGACTACAGCAGCTTTATGACCTTAGGTACTGGGTTATTATTGTAAATAACTATTAAAAACCTTACTGTTAATTAAATATAGCTGAAATAAAATAAACTATAAAAACGGACTAAATGTAAAACTGAAATGTTAACTTGACAACTGAAATAAGTACGTTAAGTTAATTAAAGAACTGAAATTTCTCGAAATAAAAACTAAAACTGAACTAAAATCAAATTAATGAACCTAAATAGTAATAAAAAAAACAAAAGGTGTGTGTGTGTATATATATATATATATATATATATATAATATATACACACACACACACATATATATATATATATATATATTAGTGATGTCAAACGATTGATTCATCCAAAATAAATGTTTGTTTACATAATATGAGTGTGCAGTGTATATTTATTATGTGTATATATATATATATATATAATTACAAACACATGCATGTATATATTTTAGAAAAATATGTTTATATATTAAATATTTATATATAAGATAAAATATAATATAAATATATATATATATACACAAACACACACGTAAATATGTTCTAAATATTTACTGTGTGTGTATTTATATATACATAAATATACACAGTACACATACATATATTATGTAAACAAACTTTTAATTGGGATGCGATTGATTGCGATTAATCGTTTGACAGCACTAATATATATATATATACATACACACACATGCGTGTGCGCAGTTAATCTTTAACCTAGTGGTTAACCTCTTTACATCTACAAAAACATGACGCCTGTTAAAATATGAATAAAAAAACACATTATTTAGGCCTAAAATCTCAATTTAGGGACAGATCAGATAACACACAGATAATATAACCGAAGAGACATAAACAATTGAAATAAATGAATAAATAATACACGTGCACACACACATATTATTATTATGTATTATTATAAAAAAAATAGTCATTGTTGTCATTATTATTTGCAGGCCGCACCAACAAGTAACAAGACGATTTGTACAGAAAAAAGAATCTACTAAAGCCCAACTTAATCAATACAAATTTATTTCATATTTTACAAAGCACAATATACAATGACAGAAACAACAAAAAAGTAAATTCTCATAGCAACCAAATGCAAAGCAACCACATGTTTGGAGACAGTAGTTGAACATGACTGTATAAATCAGCATAACTTTTGAATTATGGTCTTATGTTTCTCTCCATTATCCTTGAATAAAACACCACCCCAAAAATGTGGGTCTGATATTCAATATCTTTTCTTCTGGGACACGTGTAGCAGCTTGATCTACTCATCTTCATTGAGTAACATGTTGGGAACACCTTTGGAGATTGGGAACTCTCTGCCAGATTCAGGACACTGTAAACATCCCTCTATAACCTCAACCTATGAGGAAAGAGAACACCGCTATTAGAACTAATTCACTTCAACAAAGTTCAAGTTTGACATCTTACTCGCTTCTGACCAATGTAATCAATCTTTCAATATTTGTCTCTCTTTTGGAAAGTCACAGAAACGCTACACTGGATTTTATTTCTTTGCTTTTGGGGTAAATGGGAACTCAAAAAAGATATTTCTTATAGACTTCTGCTTCTGAGAACCCCGGACATGTGAAAAGGGTCCATAGGAAATGACTAAACTATATAAAAAAAAACACATTAAATACTCTCTATAAGTCATCTGATTTGTCTCACCTCCAGAAGAATTCTGTGAACTTTACGCAGGAACTCCTCATCATTTTCATAGTCTGGTATGAGAGTGCTGGGCAGGTCTTGAGACTGTCCGAGCTGTTAAAAACAATTCATGAGTATCCCTCAATCCACCAGTTTAATGCAATGGGAGACATGTTAATATCAGCCGATACTGATGTATCATGCACAGACAAAAACCTCCTTCTTTTTAAACAGTACTTACTGGAAAGCTGCATAAATTCACCCTCCTTATGAAATATCATTGAAATGACATGAAACACATTATCTTCACTCACCCATCCTGCTGCCTGGATCAATGCACTCCACTCCAGCTTAGGGATCATTCGGCTCACAAACTGACCATTGAACTCCAGCTCATTCACTTTCACTTCTGTTGCCTTCATTCATGAGCCAAGACAGAACAAGAGTCAGATTTGTCATTCAAAAGCATACACACATACACACACACGTCTGGTCAGCTATCCTTGTGGGTACTCTCCATAGGCGTAATGGTTTTTCTACTGTACAGACCGTATATTCTATTGTCCTACACCAACCCTACCCCTAAACCTACCCCTCACAGGAAACTTTCTGCATTTTTAGATTTTCAAAAAACTTCATTCTGTGTGATTTATTAGCTTGTTTACCCGTGGGGACCTCAATTTAGGTCCCCACTGTGACATGAGTCCCCATGAGTCTGTGTGTATTCAGGTTTAAGTCCCCACCAGAATAGAAAAACAGGTACACACACACAGGTTTGTTTTTGTGAAAAGTGAGGACCTCCCATAGGCATAATGGTTTTTATACTGTACAGACCGTATATTCTATTGCCCTACACCAACCCTACCCCTAAACCTACCCCTCGCAGGAAACTTTGTGCATTTATAGATTTTCAAAAAAACTCATTCTGAATTATTTATAAGCCTTTTGAATTACGGGGACACTGAAAATGTCCTCATAAATCACCTTCTCGTTGTAATACCTGTCATACCCATGTTATTATACAAATTTGTGTCCTCATAAACCACATAAACATGCACACACATGTTATAGGTATAACGTTATATTATGTATTTATCTTCAGCAGTTGACATTTCAAGCTCCAACACTCCTGTTAATTCAGCTTATCCTGTCACATATTTTTTTTAATCTAAAATTACAATCTTGATGGTCAAACATGTTTCATAGACATGCAGCTTCCCTGTAACTTTCTGATATGAATGTTTGATTTTTGAGCTATGAGTTCGTAGAAAAGCTAGAAGCCGTGTGGACTGAAAACACTGTACGTCAAGCTCACCTTGATAATAAGTGGGTACCCTTTAATCACACCTTTCACGTGGGATGTTAACATGTTATGCGTTAACAGCTTCATTTCCGCAGTATGTGGCTACTTATTTCAGAAACAAAGTTTAACGATTATAAAAGCGATACGTTATAAACAACAACCACATGCGTTTTGGCGATGACTGTATGCAACCTCTAAAACAAGCCCCCTGAGAAACAAAGCGCGGAGTATTTGGTTCCGCATGCAGACTGCATTATGTCGTTATAAGTGGAATATACAGTATGTAATAATTTCAATTTAAGCTGTAATACTATGGTTAAAGCTCAGTGACTAATTTGTTGAGACTAAATTACAATTATACAAATGTACCCTCTATCATATTTGACATTTCTGCTAATGATAATAGGCTATTTTGCAAACCTTTACCCCGTTTATTTATTAATTTTTCTGTTTTTATAAAATAATTGAATTGATTTAACCACGTAAACCTGCAATCCTGTAGCATGTGGGTTTTAGACTATAGGCTATGCATGTGTATATCAGGGGAAAAAATGACTGTTTGCAGTGAGACAAACACCTTGTCACATAGCATAAAATAAATTAGTTTAAATCTATTAATGTCATTTTCTTGGATAGTACAGAAATACAAATCTGCCTTATCAAGCTATATAAAATGATTTATTAAATCACACTATTATTGCCTCTGTGGATGCAACATTTACAACAGTAAATTACAATATTTTTCAAATGCACATTTTTATTCCTTTTTTTGTATTAATTTGTTTACACATCGTCTTGGTACTATACAGGTAATTCTTACAGCGTATGATATAGTTGTAATTACAGAAGAAACAAACGCACACTGATAGCTATGAATCACATAGCCAGCCAGTCAACCATCAATACACAAACATGCATGTCCAGACACACTCGCTCAAACACACACTGTACATAGTTAGACACAAATAAACACACACACACCAAAAACTCACTTCCCTCACACTGTTATGCAATTAACAAAAAAAGTGAATGTAACATTACCCATAAACCCTTTGTCAACCAACCCACTCCCCACCGCTTCTTCCTGCACAAGGACATCAAATGCTCAACATTATCAGTTTTTATATTTCACTAGCCATTATTACACATGAAATAAAATATTTAAAACATGTAGGAAGGCAACTAATGAGACGAAAGCAAGCACGTTTGATTGAGGAGTAAATGGCAGATAAAAGGCTGAATCTGTCAAGAACATGCCTGGGTCATATTTCACCACAAAAACAAAAGAAAAACTATATTGTACCCCAAAAGAAAATAAAGTTTGCATTGTGCATTATTTTTCTGGACAATTTAACCACATTTCAATCCACAAATCTCATTAAATGTAAAGAAAAAAAATCTACTGCAATGTAAAAAAAATAATAAAATAGCAAAGTATATGCGTGTGTGTGTTGTACTGACTTTATGCTGATTTAAATAAAAATACTGCATTACAGAAATGAAAATGAAATTAAGAATTAAATGTACAATATCCGGATGCGTTACAGATGCAAATATGTGCAATTGTCAAGAAAATTATGTTGCAATGCAGGAAATCCTAACATAGGCTTTTATTTTCTTTATGTAAAATCTAATTACTTTACTTTTATCTTTTGATTTTGGGGTGAAATATGACCTGGAGATTTTGCAAGATTCACCCAAAAAGGACAAGACAATAATCCTTCATTAAATTCTGAAAGACAAGAAGATGAATAGAAAATTAAATGACCCATCCCATACAAAGACTGCATCATTCAAATAACGAATGCATTATTTTAGGCTTAAAGAGTTTAAAACAAACTAGATCTTTGTAATGTCAATGAAGTAGAATTATGGCACAAAGACATCAGGATAGAGAAGGCAAAGAAGAATCCCTTTCAGAAAAGCATTTCACCTTATCGAAATGAGTAATTAACCTCAACATAATGTTTGAGATACTTG